TATGTGCAATTTTCGCTTGCAACTCAGCTTGAAGCTCCCACCTAACATCATGTGTTTACACATGGTATAGCTGCTTTGTAGCATACAAAAAAATATGTGATGACCCTCCACCAATAGGAGTGTGATATGCAGGGGAATCAAGAGCCAGCCGATGCCCCAGGGTCAGTAATATCATTGGGCCCCCCTTTCATTCTGTTTATTCACTTTTGTTGATTTTTCATAAAAGATAATTAAGTGAAAAATTTCTTCACGAATCCATGAAAAAGCAGTAGCCAGTTTAGCTCATTAATTATTATGCATTTCTAATGAGCTTTGGAATATCCCACCTCCAGGCCCCTCAACAGACCCTGGGCCAGTTGCTCCCCTTCTCATCAGCCCTGGTGACACACCCTCCTAGTACAGCTAACTCACTCTATACTGTAGAACACAATCATCATTTCTTGATTTGGTACTCGTGTGTAATATCGTGTATTTTTTTGCACATGAACTGTTCAGATTTAGGCATTTTTCAGTGGAAGTATCTACAAAGACATTGTTTCACAACTGTCAGTAACTTCCACTTTGTCATGCTAACCTACCAACTATATTGGTGTCGGGTTTGTCTTTACCTGTTGGAAGAGGTGGTAGTCTTTCATGCAGCCTGAATTTTTTTTGTCCCTGACATATCTCCACCTGTATTTCTCATTCATGATGGAACAAATTTTGCAGGTTTTTTCCCACTTTCCTTTGCCTTATCGTATGCCCATATTGTCTTGATCCTATATCAGCCTTTTTTCAAGATTTCATGAGTAGGTCTCTCAGGTATGTTTTTTACATTTTCAATTATTTTACTCCTACTTTAAGGCACACGTGTCTTGTCCTCCTTTCTTTTTTACCTCAAATGACTTCATGCTGTATTGCTTTTTTTTCACTCCTAATCACTGGAGTCTTCAGGATTGGGGGTCAGATCCTCTGTCTTTTTTCATGTTTCTTAGGTTTAGGTTTTCTTACCTTTGTCTTCCACACACTACCCTTTTTGGTTACTTTTCCTTCTTTAACTTTCTTTCCATGGTAATCCACCATTCCTCTGTGGGGTTTTTGACAGATGCTCATTAACTTATCCTTTGCATGTTTATCTTTCTTGGCATTTTCACTTCTTATTTGGTTGATTATTTGCTAGAGTTGGTTGGTGCACGATGTCCTTGTTATTCAGTTGCTTTTGCCTCATTTGTATCTCATGTGCCTTCTTGCTTCTTTCTGTATAATTTTACTGGTATGCTTATATCTGTGGTGTCATATGTTGGAGCTGCAAGTCAATTTTATGTCTTATCCTCACTGGTTCTCTCCTTCTTGACCTCTCTATGTCTCCTGTCCTTCTGCTTCCTCTTCCCTCTCTGTCACCACTTCCCATTCCTCTTCCCATCTGTCCTTCCACTGCTCATTGACTTCAATGCTGTCAGTCTTGGCAGTGATTGACCTATGGGCTCAGGGTCAGTAGGGGCTGTTTCATTGGGTTTATGGACCTTTGCCCTTCATTTGCAGCAAAGTGTTCAGTACTGGGATTTCTGTCAGAGAGCCTTAACTTTCGTTTCTTCCTCTCCTCCTCAAATATCTCCTGTTCTCATTATTTTACATTCTCCATGGGATCTTGTCTCTTGCTAACATTGGTCACTGGCAGTGTTGATCCTACTGGCTACAATCGCTATTGGGTGGGTTTTGCATCTGTTTCCAGGTTTATCATCCCGCCTTTTCAGTCTGTAGATAGGAGTCAAATCATACATTTTTCATGTCTCAGTCGGTTTCTCATCTTTCCCATGGGAATTTCTCAATCTACAGTCATCTTTTGCCCCAGGTCTTGAGATGACCAAGGTGGAAATCTTGGTTGCTTCTTTTCTCATTTGGCTCTCTCCCAACAAGCCTCCTACAGCCACCTTCTCCTCCTCCTTTGTGAGGTGGCATGTTTAAGTACCTTTCCTCATTTTGTTGTACATCAGTGATGCAGATGGAGGAATGGTCAATAGATTATTTAAATATGCTGATGTCATTTATGTTTTGGGAAGGAGGATGCTATTGCCTTGGAAGAGGATATAGATTATTTGGTGAGTTGGGTAATGTATATGGGATATCATAAATTGAATTACAGGTATAATTTTGATGGGAATGATCTTAACAGTATTATGGAAGAAAACAATCTTCATATTCTGGTTTATCAGTTTCTTGAGCCATCTAAGCAATGTGCTTTTGCTAGTAGCAAATAGGATTTTAGGTTGTATCTACAAAATTATTCAATACAAGTCTAAAGAGTTTATAATATCAATGTATGGTTGGTGGTTTGGCCACATTTGGAGTATTGTGTTTAGGCAAGGGGTCCTTACCACAGAAAAGACATTGAATTGTTGGAAAGGGTTCAGAGAAGGGCTACTAGGATGATACCTGGGATGAAAAGGTTATTATGTGAGTACAGACTAAAATTTCTGAACTTATTTTGTCTTCAAAAAAAAATTGATTGATCTTTTTTTAAGGATTTAGTTTAGTGACAGGTTAGATGTGCCAGAGGTCCCTTGCTGCTATTTAATGTTATTCCATATGTTATTGTTACGTCTCTGTATGTTTGTTTGTTAATTCTTCTAAGATACAAGTCCTTTCTTTATAAAATTTGTTTATTCTTCCTCAATACAACTTTGTAATGCACTTAATTTTCACAGTTACACACACACTATAGTTCACAACAATTCACTCACTTTCTATCATGCTTAGACTTAATTGTCCGTCCCCGCCAACTATAGTTCCGATCTCTGTGTCTGCTTTCCTCGGTTCCCGCCAACCGTAATTGCTGTCTTTCTTTCTCTCTGCCTGCTTCGTCTCTGCTTCTGCTTCTTCTCTGTCTCCACTATTGCTTTGACTCCGTCTCTCTCTCTGACTGTCTAGCGCACTTATATACGACAATACTGCCTGTTCTAGAAACTTCTAAGACTCTCAACATGTGCTACCAGCGTCACTTGACGCAACGCTGTCGCAACACACTAGCGAATCTTCTAGAATACTCGTCACGT